TGTGTGTTAACTTTATTTATTAAATATCATGTTTTTTGTACTTAAACCATAAAATTCAATTCAACAGCAATATCGCAAAATAGTTTTAAAGTGAACAAACATATCTTTAGAATTTCCGATACACAATCTCACGCGCTGGAGATAAAAAGAGTTTTTTTTTTTTTTTTTTTCGAACAGTGTTGCCATTGCTCTCTTTGAAATCGTTAAGTTTGTTAATCAAAAATTCGTTAAAGTGTTACAAAACATGAAATCGATAATAAAATAAATTTCAAATTCCAAATTAGGGCTTCGAGATGCCCATATTCGGTGAAAGATTACGTTATTCAGAATTTGATGGCCTTTAAGTACCGTTGTTTAATCAGAATGCGTAAACATACATGCATTTATGCAAATTCTTCATTATTTAATTTCGTTAAATATAACACAGGGCGATAATATTTGGTGGCAACAAGTTGAAAAGTGAACCCACATTTATAGTGAACCAACGCAAAATGCCAAAACGAAATTAATAGCCCTTCTGGGCTAACGCCCTTTGGGCTACAAATCGAAATTCAAAATTTTGGCTTCGAAGTGCATATATTCGGACGGAAGATAATGCTTGTTGAAAATTAGGTGGCTCTAGACGCCGCTATTTTTTCGCAGTGAGAGAAACATGCATACATACATACAGATTTTTCATTAATTAAGAAGCCCACCAGCGGCCGAGCGATAAAGACGCTGAACACTGGTAGTTCGGTCCGAGGTTCGAATCCCGCGAACGGGCTGGCTGCATGGGCGTTTTCGTGGTTTTCTCCATGTGTAACGTGTATACGAGCCAGTTTCCCTTAGAAAGTCCTCCACGAAAGGCATCCCTCCCATCAGGCAGATAGCCCTAGGCGTGCTTTGCCATAATTAAATACACCAACACCAACACCATTAATTAAGAATAGAGATAAGCAGCAAATTTATGAAAGAAGGACTATATCTTAGCGCTTCAATACTACTGGCCTTAAAAAGATATATCTACGTTAAGAATTTGTTGAAAGAAACATTTTACCACGTAGTAAACTCTGCAAAGGTGTAAAATGACTGATAATCCCCCAACATCAGTCCATTTCTCTATTGTATATAGAACTAAAGACAAATTATCAGTGTTCAATGGTCTTGCATGTTCTTTTTCAATATTAAGAAAAAACGTTTTTTGATGATAAACTTTTATACGGATGCCAGTTTAATTAACTGCTTTTAACTCATTTCACTTAAATTAAAATGAACTTTAATAAAATATTTTATAGTATATAAAATAATTTAAGAAGTGAATCTTTTCTTAAATTTTACGCATATTTTGGTAAAATAAAGTTTTATGTCATTATTTTATAATACGAGGGCCATCCAGGAAGTAGATTACGTTTCCGTCTGTGTCCGCTAGGGGCGGGGCTAGCGCGGCCATCTTGGGGTCAGAGCGTTGCGCAGCTCAGTCTGCATCTAGCCGTGCTAGTGAGAGGTTCGTGCTGTGCTCCGTTCAGATACTGTGACGGTTTGAAATGTCTGCGTTAATTGAAAATCCCGCGAGCTGCGAGGTGCGCTCAGTAATAAGGTTTCTGACTGCAAAAAACTGTAAACCGATAGAAATCTATCGGCAGCTTCGTGAAGTGTATGGGGACAACATTATCACTGAAGGTGGAGTGCGTCAGTGGGTCATAAGATTTCAAAATGGCCGAACCAATGTTCACGACGAAGATCGAAGTGGGAGACCCAGCATAGTGACCGCCGAACTTCTCGAAAAAGTCGATGCTAAAGTCCGTGAAAATCGAAATTTCACAATAACGGAACTTTCTTTGAGTTTTCCACAAATTTCGCGAAGTTTGTTGCACGAAATCATCAGCGAAAAGCTTGGTTACCACAAGTTTTGTGCAAGATGGATTCCAAAAATCTTGACAGAGGACCACAAAAATCAGCGAATGGCTGCAGCGTTGAACTTTTTGGACGCTTACCATAAGGATGGTGACTCTTTACTCGATCGCATCGTTACTGGTGACGAAACATGGGTGAAACATGTGAACTGTGAAACGAAATTGCAATCAATGCAGTGGGGGCACACAAGTTCTCCCCCAAAAACCCAAGAAATGCATGCAAACAATGTCGGCAAGGAAGATGATGGCGACTGTTTTTTGGGACAGAAAAGGTGTAATTTTGGTGGACTTCCTGGAAAGAGGCACTACAATAAACTCTCAAAGGTATTGCCAAACTCTCCAAAAACTCAGAAGAGCAATTCAAAACAAGCGCAGAGGAATGTTGAGCTCTAAGATCTTGTTGATTCACGACAACGCCCGGCCCCACACGGCAAATGTCACTCGTAAAGTTCTTGAATCTTTTAAGTGGGAGTTGTTTCCTCATCCGCCGTACAATCCCGACCTGGCACCGAGCGGCTTCCACCTATTCCCAGCAATGAAGAAGTGGCTGGCTATGCAGCGTTTTGATGACGACGCACAGCTGCAAGAAGAGGTAACGAAGTGGTTGAAGGCGCAGGCGGCCGAATTTTTCGACGAAGGAATTTCCAAGCTCGTACATCGCTACGATAAATGCCTTAATTTGTATGGTGACTATGTAGAAAAGTAGTATTTGAGTGTGGCTTTCATCTGTATATAACAAAATTTGTTTCCTATACTTTGTTTATTTTTTAATTCCAAAACGTAATCTACTTTCTGGATAGCCCTCGTATGATAGGAAAAGTTGTAGGAAAAGAAAGCGGAAGACTCTTGATATTTTTTTCATTTCTTTTCTTTTCCTTTCTTTTTTTTTTTTTTTTTTTTTTTTTTTAAATCTGATGTGGATACCACAAGACTTCTTTGTACGGCCCATTAAAATATATACATTTTTTTGTTGAACTTTATTTAAACTTATTCCTTTGAATTATTATAATTTATTTAACCGTTTTTTCAAGACAAATTGAAAATGACATCAAACATTGCAAATTCTGAAATTAAATATTCTGTTCAATTTTTGTCGCACGGGAGTCAAACTTCTAATTTTATTTTTTTCATAACAAGTGCAAAACTTTTCCAAAAATAAGTATAGGAACCGGGAGATCGCATTAAAAATTATATTCCGTTAACTGTCGAAAATAATTTTTTTTTTAAATTTGACATTGCCAAAACATGAATATTTTTGGCATTTAAAACATTTCTGTAATTAGAAGTATATGACTAGCAAAAATAAAGGCAAATGACTGCAAAAATAAAGCCAAATAAGGACTTTTAAGCCGGTTAAGGTGATGGGTGTGTGTGTGATATATATATATCCCACACACGTTTAGTGATGCTGATTTCAGTAAAAAAGGGAGGTGCACAACTAGAAGTTACAGAAGCCCTATATACAAAATTTTAATGTTCAACAGTTAATCGTTCCTGAGTTATGCGAGATACATGCATGCATACATAAGTATGTACCTATGTACGTATTTGCAGACGTAAAGAAAAAAAATCATCCAAATGGATTCGGGAACGGTCGAAGTGGTGCCCGAAAGTTTTCGCAATTATAGTACTTCTTTTACTTCATACAAGAAAGTAAAAAATGATATCAGTTGCTGTTTTTAAATACAACAACTATATGCGAAATATTTAAATGTTTAGCCTCTTTGCCTGTCATTCTTTCTCAGTAGCTAATGAATTAGTAATAATAGTAATGAGTCAAAACGTTTGCTGAGAGGATATTTATTTGACCTCATAACGTAGTAAAAAATAAATAAATGAATAAAATATTTGAGCTGTAGGAATGGATTGGCTGTAAGGGGTTTATCAGCTTTTGATTCAGTTGTGTATTAAAAAAGGCTTGAAATCAACGCTATTAGGATAAAATTAAGTGTTATCAAAACATTGGAATGGAAGCTGGAATACATAATTTATTCATATCCATTTCTAAGCACTGGAATTCCCATTATTTGTTTTAGCTCGAAATGTGCATTTAAATGTCAAATCTTAAAATACATTATTAGATTACAGCTCATAAACATTTATAATTTTTATCTATTTATAATAAAAAGAAATTTAGCTGAAATAATAATGTGTAATAGGTAATTTATTAATGAAATATATTTTTAATGGCTTACATTCATATAAAACATGAATCGATTTCGAGGCGATGAGACACAGATCCCTCTTCTTCAGGAGCAAACAGCAAAACTCTTTTTGTTCCTGAAGAAGTGGGGCCTTTGTATGATCACCGTCGAGATCAATAGTGCTTTTTCAAAATCTAACCAAAGTAAGGTTGCTGTTTTGACTAATTCTGAGCAAATATATTTACTTAATAGATAAAGAAGTAATAAACAAAATAACTAAAATATCAGGCTGCTTATGTAAGATTAGTATGGCTTTCAGAAAGGAACTGCTATAATAATAATATTAATAATAATAAGAAATTTTGTATTCGTGCTAGTGTGTTCGTTTATTTAACTAAATACGACAAGGTACCAGAGAGTTATTCGCTTGAAGGAAGAGGTGCCTTTGTGGTTCTGAAAGAAACATAGTTATATAATGCATTTGGAAAACACATGAAAACATGTATGTAGACAAATCTTTCGTTGGAATACGAATGTGGATCAACTGAACCAGTGTGGTATAATATAATGTGATTTGTGAAATATGAACTTAAATTTCAAAAATAACTATAATTTTTTTAAAGGAAGCATTTTATCAAAAAAGATTCGCGGCTTTTTTTCCATTATCTTTGCAGGTTTTCATTAATTTAGTCAGATGTATAATTTTTTCAAACTGACACTTACGAAACATAGGAATCCCAATAAAAAGTTTGCGATTTTTTTAAATCATTGCCACATCAAAAATTATCAGTTACTGCCTTACAAATTATCACTTCTAAAATATGCGATTATATACTCTATCGCTTTGTTTCATGAACAGCTTGATAAGGTCGACTAGTAATTTTTGCTATTTTCTTTTTCTTTTATTCAATCAGTCACTTAAAGATATCATTGTATTTATAAATATCAGTTGAAAGCAACCCCTTTCCTTTCCTCACTATGCGTAAATTTAAGACAATTTTGATTTTAGTAGCAATCGTATAGTAACAAAAAAAAAAAAAAATGAAAACTTTAAAACAAATTAAAATTATTTTATATGTGTTTGGTACTTTCTTGTGTTTGGCTGAAGCTACAGACGAAGTCAGTATTGAAATTTTTAAAACATTAAGTGAACTGAATGATAGATGGTTGCAAGCTATCTCTATTCCAGAAGCTGCCATGCTGTTGAAACACCCACCTTATAGCCACCATGTAAAAAGACAGTCTTTGAGTCATGTAAATATTTCTGAAATTTTGTCGCAAAAAAACTATTCTTACTCAGCAAATGAAGCAACTGAAGGTACAGTAAGAAGCTGCAGTGACGATTTAGTACAAATTATTTATAATGTGGAATCTGAATGGGCCTTACAAAGTAAGTTTTTAATAGCAAAATCATTTTAAATTTATTTATGTATCATTTCATTAGTAGAATTTTTCTGTGTGTATGAACTTATGTCAAAATTAGGTATATATATGAATTCACGTCAAGTGTTCTGGGTGCATCACTTTTGATGCATCCACAAATACAAATCAAAACATTTTTAAACATTTCTATATTCTATATGCAGTTTTAAATAAATGCATTTAAGATGCAGAATTTTAAATTGAAAAACAGCTGTCAAATTGAAAAAAAAAATGTACGTTTTTATGTAATGTGACTTAAATTTTTTAATTAAGAATTATAAGTATTAAGCTTGCAATACTAAAAAGTTGAATTATATATTTATTAAGGTAAACAAAGTGTTTATTCTGAAAAGGTACTTTAAATTTTAATTTGTTATACTTTTGCTATTTTTTTGAAAATTTTATATTGAAATTAATTTTGGATTGTTACTCAAATATAAATATATTTAGTTGAATCCTTACTCTTCTCAAAGCATTTGGTTAAAATTATTTTACCGTTGTTTAAAAGCGCTTGATTTTTATACTTTTTGAATTTATTTAGTTTACTCGTTCTTCTGTGTTCAAGAGAAGAATATTTTACTTATTTATTTATTTATTCTATTTTATGTCATTGTAAATTAGAATTTTTAAATAGATTGTTGAATAATATACATTCAGGAGTTTCCAGAATTATTTTAATTGGGTTTTAATTTGGATTTTTGTTTCGTGTAAGAAGTATATGAGAAATGCACATAAATAGAATTAAGGTTTACCACTTTTATTTTTTTTTATTTTTCGCTGTACTTCTGAAAATGTCTGTCACTGCAATTAATAATATTATAAAAATGCATTTTTTAAGGATATGCTTTTGTTAATTTCATTGTCATTTTTAAAGAGAAAAAAGTTTAAAATAATAATGAAAAACAATTATAAATCGCATTGGAAATCTTTACAAAAATGTTTTCCTTAAGGACTTTTATAGCACTGTATTTTTCTTTGCTTTTGCGAAAATCATGTTTCATTTAAACAACAAAAGTGAAATTAACTCTGAGGTTGGTTTTATACAAATAAGTACCTATTTCAAGGAAGTCAAGCACAAGATTTCTGTTTTTGGAGGAGTTAAAATATTCTCACCATGTAATATTATAAGACAGAATTTTTTAAAAAGGAGATGGTTACAGCCGAAAACATCGCGGAGGAAACAATGCGGAGAAAACAAGAAAGGCGAAAACGTCGTGGTACAAAACATAGTGGGAAAAAATAAAGCAAAGAGAAAACAGCGCAGTTCTAAAACATCGTGGTACAAAATATTGTCGTCGAAAGGTTCAAAAACTTCGCAGTTTAAAAACATCGTCGAAAAAATCGTTGTAAAAAATAAAGTACCTATAAATCATTACATGACGATAACATCGCAGACATGCTTTTTTAATGATTTTATAACTATAAATGGATATTCGCATAATGATTTGTGAGTGCAAGATGGAAAGAAGGATAATTTTTACTTTCATATTTTTTATTAACTAATAAATTAAAAAAACAGAAGAAGAAATTTAAACAAGGCAAGAAATAATTTTCGCTAAGAGTATCAGATTAACAAAAGTAAAGAAAATAATCTCATAATTAACTTAACAACTTTTTTATAGATAAAGCCATGCAGTTTCTTATCTTTCTTTTTTAGATTACACGTTTCATGAAAAATTACCAATAAAATTTATAAGAGAAATAATTTATTAATGACCTTTGTTTGTTAACTTTGTTAGTTTAAAATTCGATTAAGTGCTATAAGTTGCATTATTTTTCTATCTTTAAGTTTCCATATTATATTTTCAGCTAATATTTATTAGTTAATAAAAAATATGAAAGTAAAAATTGTCCTTCTTTCCATCTTGCACTCACAAATAATTATGTGAGCATCCTTTTACAATCATTAAAACCTGAAAAAAGCATGTCTGCGATGTTATCGTCATGGATGATTTGTAGGTACTTTAATTTTTACAACGATATTTTTAACGACGACTATGTCAACTTTACTTTTTGTACCACGACGTTTTCGTCCGCGATGCTTTTGCCGCGATATTTTCGGCGAAGAGATATTCCGTGCGTGTCTCTCGAAATTTATAGAGTTTTTCCTACAAATACTTTTCGGCAAAACGCATTTCAGCCAACATGAATTTAAGAAAGCTTTTTGTCAAAGATTTAGTTTATTAACTATGTATTTTTTCCATATATATTACCCTTCATCGTCTGGTCATGCAATAATCAAGCTAAAGAAAAGTCGTTGCCTAATAATTTATATTCATGAAATAATTAGAAACTTACTCATTCCATAATTTTCATAATATTCAGCCGATTTACTTTTGTGTAAATCGATGTTTGTGAATTTCATTTCCATACAAATGTGTTATTATGTCCCTAATGAATTTAAAACTGTCTGGAGTTGAGATAATTATTTAATTCAAAATAATATGTAGATTATGCTGTTTATTTAAAAAAATTGTTTTTATTTTGTCAAACACTACGTGGCATAAATTAAAATGGAAAAAAATTGCTTTGAATGACGAGAACTTGAATTTAAGTGCTTGACGGCTGGAATTATTTAACATGAACTTTTAAAAAGGTTAATTTTTTATCACGTTTAATCAAACAAGGGCGATATTTCAACTTTTTACGAAGAATGATTTTATAGTTCTTAAAAATATAATACATTTTAACCCCGGACAGGTTAACACTTGTCTGATACTGGCAATTGCGTCTTTCATTCGGCGAAAAGAATAATTCTGATATGATGTTAAAAACACAATACGAAACAGAGACAAGCACTTTTATTATTTGTGACATAACTTATTTATTTTCAAACAATTAGAAACAATGGAATTAACACATTGGATGTATCTGAAATTGCTTCGAGTCGATAATTTATTTGGATATAATTCAAAAAAAATTTTCTTCCGCTTCATATAAGTTTTATACGTTTCAGTATGATTAAAATCAAATTTAAGAATATGAAAAGAAACCGGTCGATCATATTTTAACAAAATATTCACAATTCTTTCAACTGTCATTCGAAACTGTAGGATAAATGAAAACAACATTGCACAATGGAAATACTTTAAGTGGTTCTCTGGTTAAAGAAAATTAATAAATATTTGATATTAAAACTCAATCTGAGATTGGCATAAATTTTGGTGCATACTATAAGTAGTTTAATTCCTTTATATCATAAAATTTAGTTAATTACAATTGAAGCTATTTTAGTACCTTTTTTTCATTTATTTTTGTTATAAATTATAAAATGTTTTAAATTTTATTTTATTTTGTTTTAGTTTGCGTCCTGTTTTAGGCCGCATCATTGTTATTTTAACATTTAAACTGATTATTGAGTATCATAAGTGATTAAAAATGCCCAACATTAATTGCATACGGTGTAAATTTCATTATTCAAGTTTAGTGTTTTCCTGAAGAGGACAAGAAGGAAACTCTTGGATGGTATTGCTTAGAAAGATGTCTCGTAAATACGATTTTCTACCAGATTAGAAGTTATTATTCCTTTTTTATAATGCAATGAAGTACACATAAATTTAGAAGTACAAGTGATCTCATTTATAAATGGGAAATAAAAATATGAGATGAGTACCACATTCTGTGATTTAAAATACATAGTATTTATTAATGTAAATATTCACTGTATTTAAATAAGATTATTTGTTCAGGGTAGAAGAAATAGTATTTACATTTGACTGTCGTCTCTCATAATTACTGTACTACTAGTATTGCTTTTTTTCTATCCCACGATAGCTAATTTAGTGTATTATCTCATTTGATTATCATACATGAGAAGGAATACAGTACAATCTCGGATCACGAACGTCTCACTTCATGAAAAAAACTATTTGAACATAAAACACCTCGAATGATGAACAGTATTTCGAATTACGAATACTCAAGGCGGCAACATATGATTTTCAAAGGCGTATTGAAGTAACTTCTACCACATAATTAACACTCAAGTCTTTCTCGAAACATCATTTTTATATCTTCCATAGCTTTGCTCTTATTAATAAAGCTTGGTAGCAAGGGACTTAGAAAACCATGAATTCTGGCCTGGACGAAATTATAGCCCGATTGCGTTGCAGACAGAGACTTTGAGCGCTTTGATACAGACGTTTTTGTTATCCATGATACTGTATCCGTAGGTAGAAACATAGGCTAAGGAGTTAACAATAAAAATCGAAGAAATTACTAGACAACCAATAAAAATGAGCTTAGTAAGAAAAAACTACAACGTGAAAAGGAGCAATAAAAGGCGATTGTAGAAAAAATATCCTCAGAAGAACAGAAAGAAAGAAAAACGACTCCAATTCTCTGCTTTGCGAAATTTATACTAAATGGAACAAGACGCAAAGTTTTCACCTAACGATATAGCCTTCATAAAGCAGTAGCAAGCTACAGAAAAAATATTTTCGATGACGATACCGTATCTCAGATTAGAAACATTTTAAAATACAGGTAACAAGAAAACACACTAAAACATTCTGTGTGAAACAGAGGCCCAGTGAGTCTCAAGCAGAGTGGTGCTTAGAGATAAGGGGAATATATAAAAAAAATGACGCTTTACGACAGTTAACCTGATATTTTTATCGAAGGAAATTTCGCGTCCAAACAATATAAACCTCGTCATATTTTTCCTTATGTCATTTCCTTTGTATAGGTACTGTAAAATTAATTTGTCATCTAATTTATCTTTAATAGTGTTTATATATATATATTTAACGATTCCCTCGGTTTTGGGTTATGAGCCTGTATACAAAGTACTGTTGCAAAGTTTAAATAAGCAACCATCTGTAATTTAGAAACGATTTAATCCATTTTACATTAATTCCTCAGATAAAATCTTTTCGATTTACAAACATTTCGAAGGCCTTCGGGAACGAATTAAGTTCGTAAACCGAGGTATTACTGTACATCATGCATACGAACTCATGGTAGTCTTTGGCTTTAACAGTATTAGGATAATATATTATTGCAATAAGTATTTAATATGTTGAAAAAAGTAAGGTTTGCCTCAGAGAATAATTATTTAAAAAAAAGTGGATTTAAAGTGGAGTAATTTTCAATTTTTATAATTTTTTCTATATTTAACACAAATGTGAGTCAATTTCGATTTAGAACTCGTATACATTATGTAAGAAACTTACTCTTATCTATATTGTAGGTTACAAAATATACTGTAGAACGTCCGTAAGTTCTCGTACGCCTAGGTTTGGGTAACACAGAAAGCAATGTCAGTATAATGTTAGTTTATTTATTCAGTACATACCTGTACTACAGTTGAGTACTTAGATATACGAACTGTGTATTCAGTGGGCTTATATGTGCTCCATCGGGATGAACACACAGATGTATGCGTCTGCATAGCCTCTTTGACATGTTGCAGAGCATATGAGAGGTTATCTTCTGAAAGGCTTCCTCCACATTTTTGAACATTTCCTCATCTATGCTCTGCCAACGATGATGATGGTGTGAGTTGATTATTTTTTACAATGTCTAGTCTACATTGTTGAAAGATTTGAGTTTCACGATGGCCATTTCAATGGAGAGGGAAATGTTGGAGAACAACGCCCTCCAATCCAACGGCCTGGAAACTTTTCATTAAAGAAATATCCCCCTAAAGAGCAACATGGGATTTTGGATTCCTGATACCTGATGCAAATTAGCGGTTAACAAAGTTCCAGAATGTATAAATAAGAATGTCTATTCACATATTCGTCAAGAAAGCAGTGTTGCCGATACCAAGCAACTAACTATAAACAATACCACAATTAAAATTAGACTAACACTGTTTTCTATGATACTCAAACCTGACGGTATGGGGACTTCCTGGACATCCTGTATATAACCGTTATTTAATAACTATGCTAATTAAAAGTTAAATAATTCTATAAAAATTGATTTGCTAATATAGCTATAGAGCGTTTTCTTTAAAGGAAAATTAGAAAAATATTTTATGAACTAAATTACTATTTACTTTGTACTATATTTGAAAGAGAATTCATGCATCCATTAATGTTATGCAAACTTCATAATATTAATAGCTTAATCATAATATTAATGTAGTGCATTGCAAACTTCAGATGAGAAGAAGACTTCCCCTCTCACATTTAATATGTTATACTGTAATTATAATTAATTACTGTTATAAACAATATTCTTCTTTTTGAATTTATTTGCAGTGTTGGATTCTGATGGCAAACTTACCAGTGGGCTGTTAAGAGGTGGATTAATATGGCCAGGACATTACGGCGAATGCAATTCTGTTTATGCTCCTAAGGATGAAGATGGCCATGGGGACTTTTATGGACAATACTGCGTTACATCATGGTCTATGAATTTAGGAGGAAAGGCAAGCTGTTAACATTATTTTTAATATTTTTCTTTCATGGTATTTGCTAGCCAAAAACATTATTCAAATTTGTTTTAACTGCCACTAACCGGTGTTGTATGATCAATTAGTTGTCACGAAATATTCATTAAAACGTTAATCAAACTTTGCAAGAAGCTTACATATGTAATAAAAAGTTAGTTTTTTGATCTCCAAATATTAACTATAGTTAATATTTGGAGATCAAAAATCAAAAATCATCAAAATTTCCAGGCTTTTGCAGCGAGTCTCTGCATTTTATTCTAATTCATGGAATTAAATAAGTACATTTTATGTAATTTTTTAAAATGCGTGCAGTCGAAATGAAAGGTGAATGGTCAATGTCAGGTACTACGACTATTCATTCTTTGACGAGGATGAAAACTCAGGTACTTTTTCCGATCATTGTTGAAACTCATATAATACGTATTTAGAATATGTAATTAATAAAAATCCTCATTTACTGTTTCCTTTCTTAAAATTACGTTTTAATAATACGTTTTAATAAATTAAAAATAATAAATAAAAAATACGTTTTAATAAACATGTATAGAAAGCTTTTTGTATCATAGCTATATAATTTAAGGAACAGCTCAAAAACATGACTTCTTATATTTTTGAATCATGTAGGATAAGGTTGCATTAGTCGTACTGTAGGTTATTTTGAAGCAGGAAGACGTGATTAATGGGCAATGCCCTCGCCGGGACTCGAACCTGGACCTCTCGAATTCGCGCAGAGTGTGCTACCGTTAAATCACGAATGCATGAAGAAAGGAGGCAGGAAATACTTTATAGTACCCCATAACAAATATATATAAATCTTAGGATCTATGAAAGAAATAAAAATTGTGTGTGGTTAGTAATATCTTGTGTTGTCAGTTATAATAAAATTCTATACAGTCTGCTTTCTTTGATAAAATAAATAAAATTTATGAATGCGAACTCAATACAACTTAGACAACCAGTATTCTAGCCGACATTACCTATAGAAATCGGTTAATGAAGTTAGAATAATTCGAAGAACTAAGTTTAAATGAGGTGCAGCAAAAAAATTTGCATAATTTAATAGGCCGTACAAGGAAGTCATGCAGTGTCCTGCATCAAATGTTTTTAAAAATTTACGACACTTTTCAAAATATAACATTCTGAAATTAATTCTGAAATGCATTATTTGTAGTAACTCTGTATAATATGTTGGCAAACAAATATTTGAACAAATAAAATTACTGTCATCACTGTTAATCAGATTTAAAGAAGTATTACATAATTTCAGTACTCCAATTTGCCACTAACTGTTGGACTATGCATTCCTGACTCTTGTACCGGTGAAGACATACAAACTATTGTAAAGAATGTTTTTCATATTTTAGGTAAATAAACTATTTTAATTCTAACTTGCTTATATTTTTCCTTCAGTGAAAAGTGAAATGCATTTTAACTTGCATTAATATTAATTAATTCATTTTTTTCTTGTAGATCGTTTTCCAGTACTAAAACAACACAGTTCACTACTAAGCCTAAAAAGTGTGACCTGCAAACCTAAAACAAAAACTCTGGATGTTTCTAGCATTATTTATTTGTAAGTTTTCATTATTTACCTCTTAAAATATTCTTATACAATTCTTATAAGCGTATTTGGAACAATTAAAAGTGTCGATTTTATTAACTTTTAAAGAATATGCGCCATTTTAAATTTTATCTTATTTCCTGGAAAATGGAACAAAATTACTTGCTTTAAAATATTTTAAAGTTAAGATTCTATTACTCATATGATGTATACTAAGCTAAGCGAATTTCCATTCTTAATTGTAAATCAAATATACAAATTCAAAAGAGAAAAATGATTAAACGAATTTGAATTTAAGAGCTAATTTTATCATGGAGTATAAAAATACAGTTAGAACAATTGTTATTTCAACTCAAAGTTGGTTATTTATAATAAAGTAGATTTTGTAATTTCTTCAGAGGGACCTTAAAGGTTTATAGAAGTTTGCTTTTTCCATTTAATTTTCTTTCCAAATTAAATAATGAATGCCATAATTCAGCGTAGTTTGCCTGTCTTATGTAACTTCTTATCAGTAGCAACACTATGAAGCTGCGAAGCTTCGTGCCTCAGCGATATTTTAAATCTGTTAATCTTATCTGTATAATCTTATAACAATACACATTTATCCACTGAAAAGAAAAAAATTTCAGATTCACTAGAAGTGCTTATTCTAAAAATCAACGTTAATTTACGTTTTATTTTCTTTTCCAAATTTTAAAGCAGACATTTTTCTTTTACTCTCAAAGACAGCACTGCATTTTTCAGACTTTGGAATCTAAAATCAATCCATGTTACTTTAATCAGAAATTCTGAAAATGTGTCATGATTATTACTACGTTTCTATACTGCTATACCAAATAATACCGTGTGCATGCGAAATTATATGCTGGAATTTTTAGCAATGTTTCATTGGTTATTTCAACTGCATATAAATTACATTAGGGAAAATTTTACCTTTATCAAATTTTCATTTATATACTTTGTAAGGATTCTGTTAATTTATCTAACAGTTAAATTTTGAGTTAAAGTTACTGTCCTATCTTTTCTTAATTTCAAGCTTACAACTTCCGGCCAGAACGTATTTTTATAATCGCGTTTGAATGCAAATAAGAAGAAGTATTTAACAGTGAAGTTCTACTGACTTCGTTAGAGAGAGAACCAGTGATTCTGACTAGCGCGCGTCCGCCTTTTTAGGCTACTCTCTCTTAAGCTGTTACGCTCGGCCATACTTTTAGGCCCTTGATAGCTTCGCCGTTATTTAGCTTTAAGGGTCCAACTCTGTTAGAATCTTGATAGCTTCGGCTTTTTTAGTTAGATTAGTTAAGTTAATTTCTTAGTTTTTGAGTTCAGGCCCGAGTGGAGGCTTTATTGTAAAACTCCAAGAAGGAGTTCTGTGAAATTAATTTGGAATAATAAAGGGTCTTTTACCCTTCCGAAGTTTTATTTTTCTGTCTCACGAACTCAAACGATTATTCGCTTACTAGTTCTTAAGATTCTTCAACTTTAACTGTAGCTTAAAAGTACAATGGTTAGAATCTTACAGCTTTTTTTAGGAATTTAACGATTTGACGAATCCCGTACACGGTAGTTATTGAATTAATTAGATCAATATATTTTACGAAAAAAATAATCTAATATATAATAACAATGCGTTTGAGTACTAATAGGATACTTTTGTAGATCATAGTATAAATATCGTACCCTTATGTGAAATCCTTCTCTAGATAAGTACCAGAATTTTACTGTTTTTGAGATTGTTTCTGATGGCATGAGATCTGTTACGTTAGTAACTTGTGTGCAAGGCCTTTGCAACATACGAGTACTACACCGGAACATTTCTGCATATCCAAGAATGTGGCAGTAATAGTCTGTTTCTGTTGAAGTGGATTAAACACCCAAAGGTTATCTGCCTTAGAATAGGAGTGACTTGATGAAGGACTTCAAGGAAACTTGCTCGTCAGTTATGTCACATTTAAGAGGAAAAAACTATTAATTGCTAAAAATGCTCATCTTCAGTTTTTATGCCGTTAATAGTCTGATGAAGAGTTGAATGACCATGTAAGAATCCGAAATGCATATAATGTATATTTTCGAATCCAAGAAGACTTCGAATCCGAGATGATCTTCTTCCCATTCTTAATGCGAGAAATATTCATTACTTCTTTACGTTTCTCACGCACAAGTGCCATTACTTCCATCCCAATATTCTCGAATCTTCCGCTCTGTAAGTGCTAAAAGCGAATGAGCAATTTTAAAACGTTTTTTAGCCTTTCGCCATCACTTAATTATCAGTCTATATGAAATCATACTTCTTCGACCCCACACAGTTCTTTATTGCTTCTTAGCCAAGATTTTGAAGTTTTGCGAAGTTCAGTGAACTTCCTTGTTCATTACTGCGATGAATTACATACAGGTATCCGTAAAATAAATTTACGAAGATAATGTACACGTACCATTTTTTTTTGTGGTACGGAGTATTATATTTTATTGCGAAGTTCAGAAGAGGAATACGCAAAGTCTCACAACATTTGATAAGAAAAATGTTCGCCACAACAATCACTACGTGCAAAAGCACAAGAAACTCCACATTATACATCGCTAATGTAAAGCAATCCCATCTCTTCCGGCAGAAAATTTTTAAAAATATATCGTTTAGATTTGGAGATATAAGTTTTTTTCATTATTTTTTATTTCTTTTGTTTTTTGACAGTTTTGAATAATCTTGTCATCAACAGTAATTCAACAGTTTTCGAAGAAACCTCGTAGAAGGCTTATTATTATAAAAAAGAAGGATCTAGAAGACATTCATCAAGTCTTTTGATTGCGATATACTGTTTCAAGGTAGCAGAAAAATAATTTTCTGGTTTTAATCCTAGTACACGGTAAACATGGGATTTGACGACTTTTGGTAACATTTTGATGTGCAGTAATCGCGGTATTTATAACGAGCAGTAAACGAGTCATTTTGGTACTGGTGACAATTTTCAAAAATCGCGCCAATTCGACACCGTATACTAGAATTTCACCCTTTTCTGGTCTTCATTATAGATTTCGGAAACTTAACACTGAATCGAATTTAAGTATAAAATCCAAGAGATAATCGAGGAAAGGAATGTTCTTATCATTTACTTTGTGAATTTGAATTAACGTTTTATAAATAGAAATAAACTACTATTTTGTTATTTTAAAGTTATGTTTACGTTTTTAAATCGAAAACAGAATAAGGAATATTTTACTCGAACTGTGTATTAATTATGTCGAATTTTTTATCAAAGATTTTCTCAAAATTTTCTCATAAAATTTTCAAGACATCTTAGATATTTGGTTCATACATAAAGCCGAATATTTGGGTACTTTTCAGAATCCCATTACCTAGACCCACGGTGGCATTGATAAAATAACGTAAGGGGGTAGAAATGAGTTACGATATCTCGTACTGACCAACAAAATGGGGGTAAGCACGTCTGCATAACGGTATAAGGCTTATTTATCACAAAAATGTAATTTAATGTTTGTATGCTTATTTGATTAGGGTGAAACACCCAAAAACTAGCTCTTTAACGAAGGGATGCCTTCTTGTAGGACTTTCTACGGAAAATAGCTCGTATATATGTTATACAATGGAAAAACATAAAAACGCTCGATATATTTTGTAGTCTTTCATTCTGTCATGTTCGAACTAGAATACGCATAAATTAGCAGCTTTTCTTCTTTAAAAATTATGTTAACTTAAAATTATGTTTTTAAATTTTTACTAATGGTTTTACTCGCGGAAAATATCTTTAAAATATCAAATGTAGAATTTCAAATTGCAGCTGAGTATCTTAAAACAACAGAAATAAACCATGCATATAAAGTTTTAAAGATTTTAAATAATCTGTAGTTCCAAATTTAGGCAAGTGCAGATTTTGAATTCTGCATAGCAGCCATTCACGAAAGAAATCTGAAAGAGATCTTTGACTTCATAGTGTGTTAAATCCACGCATTTATTAGAAAGCGTACAGATTTAAACCTTGATCATTATAGTTATTAGTAACAGGCGCTAGAATGGTTACATCCAGTGAATATAAGCAAGAATACTCATAAGCATATTCTAGATCACTTTGCTTGTTACTGAGTACAAAGATGGAGCAGGCATACTTGAAATTTGATATTTTACTGATGAGCACTGCATCTGCTAAAACATTAGTGTTGAGCCTAAGCAGAAAAGAGTTAAACTGATGATCTTGTTTAGTGATGCATCTCTGCCAGTGTTTTGAGCATTATATTTTGGCTTGGTGCTTTCAGTTGCGAACTAGAGAATGAGTATCCGGAGAATCATACTGCTTTTCACTTTAAATGCAATATTAAATAAATTACAAAAACGTTCGAAATTATATTATAATGTAAGTCCTTGCTTCAAATGATTTTGTACAGCTGTTGGTTAATATATGTCTTCTCATCTGAGTTAAGCTACTTTATTTTCAATTGAAAAAACTATCAGCATATCCCTCATGTATGAAGTATCGTTTTCATATATATATATATTTTTAAATTCCTTTCTAAGTCCTGGAGTCATCCATCCTAATGACAAAACTGTTCTGTTAAATTTAACCGTCTGATTGACATTTATATCATGCAAATCGTGAATTTTAATATTATTTAATTATTTAAAAGCTATTACTGAGTATTAATTTAGAAGTCAAACAACAAAAATCAGCGTTATATTTTCAAATTTTCACAGGACTAGTTTCGATGGTTTTAGCGAATCATCATCCTCAGCTGCAAAAGCGCAAAAAAATGCGCTCACCATTAAACCATCAAAATGTTTTTTCCTCTTTTGCAGCTGAGAATGATGGTTCAGTAAAACCATCGAAACTAGTCCTGTGAAAATTTGATAACATAACGCTGATTTTTGTTGTTTGACTTCTAAATTAATATTTGTTCGGCGTGTTATTGTGTCTTAATTATTACTGAGTGATTGTATCAGCTTGCGTAACATAGATTCCAACTCACACGTAAAGATCTTAAACGTTCTCAACTGAAACAGATAAGACAGATAGAGCTTTAATTTTATTGTAATGTTTTCATTTTAGGTATTCTAATATTTTATCTTAGATTTTATAATTTGTATAATTTTTATATTTTATTACTAAATGTTATTTATTATTAAATTTTATATAATTTTTGAATTAAAATTTTTATAGCATTATATTTGACTTTCAAGGTTTTTGTTACTAAATTTTTTATTATTAAATTTTATATAATTTTTGAATTAAAATTCTTATAACATTATATTTGATTTTCAGGGTTTTTGTTTTTGGTTTTGTGCTTCTGACAGTTATTGGAAGTATTGTAACTATAATCGACAGAAGAAAGCGTCTTAAGCTGACTATTGCAAAGCAACCGAGGCAAGGAAATTCTCAAAGCTTTGAAGCTAATACTGCATCTTATGTCTCTGAAGTATCTGAAATAAACGCTGTAACAGATGAAAAGCTACCAGCAGGGAAAACATCCGAAAGAAATGAAATTTCAAAAACATCTGAAAGAACTAAATCTGAACCCACTGCCATACAGATATCTGAAAAAAAGGAATCTTCAACTGATACTTCCAAAACATCTGAAAGAACTAAATCTGTGCCTACTGCTCTGAAAATATCTGAAGAAACTGAGTCTGCGTCGCATATACCAGAAATCTCTGAAACTAACCTTACAGTAAACAAAGAAATTTCTTCTAGTGACAAAGCTTCCTTAATGGATAATCCGGAACTGGGAGTTGTAATTCACTCAAAAAAATCAGGTTTGTGAACGTCATTTATATAGTTTATTTTATCAACTGAATAAACCGAATAACATGCAAGGTAATCTATCTGGTCTTTCTCTGTTGTAACTTGTGACCAGACCTCAATAAGACTTTAAGCGCCTTATCGCTAAGTACTACAGATACTTAAGAAGGGTGTAAATGACTCTTTATTTTAAACTAAAATAGATAAACAGAAGGGTACTTACAAATCAGTCAGCATTTATGTTTAGAACTCAAAATCAAAATTCAAATGTAAAACTAAATCTAGATATCTGATAGCCAAAGATTTCCCAGAGTATATTAATCACGAAGTCGGCTCGGAATAAGACTTTTACCGGCGTGAAATTACTGTCGGCAAACATAATGCACGGCCGAAGACATGAATTATTATCTTAGATAATGTGGCCTTCAATAGGCAGAACACGCTCTGGTTTCACTTAAATGCATGCGAACTAAGTTGCATTCTGGCGAGAAAACAGAAAACAGAAATGACAGTAAAGATTTAACAGGTTAAGCAAATTAAATAAACCTTATAAACATTTTAATAAACGAGTTTATAATGTACTGCCTTTTTCAGCAGGAATTTTTAAGGATTTTCATTTTGCAATGGATAAGTTACTGTTAATTTTTTCAGTCTTTCCATACAATATTTTGTAACAAATTTTATTTTAATATCCGCATAGATTTTACATATCATAGTTGTCATTCCCAAAAAATTGTAAGTTGGAGCACTCACCAAAAGTAATAACTATTGTTAAATCTGTTTATCTATAATAAGGTTGAAAAGATAAACAATCAAAATAGGTGCTGTAGCAACGATCAGAATAACATGACTGACCTGTAGTGCCCATTGAGGGGTGAAGCAGGCGGAATAATAATAAATAAATAAATAAGATATCATAGTTGTTATAGCATCTAATATTAATATAGCATGAAATTAAACCTTTTAACAAGTAGTGCTTCTGGTCTATCTGGTGTTGTAATGTTTTTCAAACTAGAATCCTGTCTACAGATTTTTATATACACTATCACACAGGAAACACTGAAACACAGTGAAAGTTTTAATTCAGTATTACACAGATTTCAAGATCTTTAAGCCAGATTTAGCTTATCGAAATTTCCACATGACCATGATTTATTTAGAAGCGTGATAAAAAGTTAGACTTGGTTTCGCAAGATACCTTTCTATAGGACGCAGATTTTGTTTTCGGCTATTTTCTGAGACAGATTAAAAATTAAACTAGTGAAAATAAGATAAAATCCAGAATGTGTTTTCGTAAAATAAACTGGAGATGTGTACCTGGTTGGTATTTTCATTGCTATTCAGCAAAAACTAAATAAAGTACAATACCCGTGGCCAGATTCGGAGTCAGTGATTAATGGAAGAAGACAGTGTACGATATTTTCTTCTTCCTTAACGAGTGACTTGGTAGTGTAATTGGAATCATGTCCGAATATCAGCATCAGAAGATCCGGAGTTCAAATCACGGCGAAGACACAGCTCATTTTTTGTTTTCTGCTTCAAACCGCCTAATGACTCTACAGTACGTCTTTTGACATCTGCGCAAATGTGCCAAGATGGATGTCACAGCGTCTAGTTTTGTGCACTCGAACGCAGAGTTTGTCACTCCAAGAGGCTGGCATTATTCAGCATGGTATATACTGCAATACTGAGTATTGAAAATTTGAGTAAAGGGATCAGATTTTATCTTTTTAAAAATATCTTCTTCCAGTTGAATGTTTTGCTTTCTTGCAAAAACAAAAAGTGAAAATAATTGTGGACGAAAGGAAAACGTTTTACAATTTAAAAAAAACCCATAAAAATTTTAAAAAATTTAAAGAAATCACAGAATGTCACAGAAATTACATTATAGAATAAATTTAAATTTGAGACATTATTTATGCTTAAGGCTTCCCCACATTATTTTCTTCTCTTAAGTCTGTAGATCTTCTGGAAGATTCTAAAATCCATCTATAATTTTTCAGAAAAGTGTTTACATTGTAGGGCTACTAGTCCTTACTTAACTTAAACTTAGTCCCTTGTGAGACTGTCAGGAGATTTACTGTCCAGTTTATGAAAGTAACTCCATTTCAGAGAAAGGTTTGAAAAACCTTTTTATTTTTAAATTTAACAAATACTCGGCCTGTGCTTACAGAATAGTCCTCGCTGCTTGTGGGATTTAAAGTAACATAACAATAAATTTAAATTTAAAGTAATTCAACTCTGGAAATTTACAATATTTATCAAACCTTACTTCATACTAAACCAACTGCGCGAACAAAATCTGCTAGCAAAATGCTAACTTCGATCTAAAGTAATTCTCAGAGCCTGGGTGAGGAACTGCCACAACAGTGAGCTCTTTTCCGAACATTCAGGAACAGTGTTTTCTTATACACCTAGCTGATTTCCATCTTGCTAAAAGCCGATGAAAGCGGAAGTTAGAGTACAGATGAAATAATAAGGTAATTAGACAATTATTATAAGCCTTACAACATAAGGTTTAGAATTAAATTCTTTTAAAGGTTTCCCATTTAATGAAACTTTAATCGCTTTTTTATTAACATATTTTTACGTTTTAAAGGAAAACTAAACAAAGGGGCTTCATCCCGTAGTATTGATATTGAATAGTTTGACACCCAACAATAGATTCATTAAAAAGAAAAGACATTTTCTAATGACTGTTAAAACTTTTGGTTATTTACAACACGTTTGTTAGATCTTAAATAAAACCAAAGGAGATCTTGCGTTCCATGAAGAAAAACAATAATGTAAGGTCAAAATATGATATGAAACACAAGGCATGTGTTTTCCTTGGAATCCGCGAACAAGCAAACAGATAAAACAACAGGCTTGCGAATTAGAAACAAATCTCACATAGGGATGGCGCGAGCACTCTAAAACTCACCGCTTGGTATATGGCGATGTCCTGAGGACAGGTGTATGGCGAGATCCGGCGCAGACAATTTCTTGCAGTTTAGCTGCGGTAAATTTTTAGATTATCAGTTCCTTTCGAAAACCATCTCTAATAGCAAACCATCATAGTTAATATTTATAATGGTATCACATAAGAGCCACCTGAGGTGATAAATTAAACTATCTCCTCTTGACATTAGAAATATTGTTTCGTGACTATCGTTTTTATGTCTCAGCAGTGATAATCATCAATTGAGAGGCTAGTGCTGGCGTAGCAGCCTCTGACTAATGCGTCGTCCTAAACATCATACAACTCGTCAACGTGTAGCTATGCTTTGAAGTGCCATCAGTATCATAATGTTGACTCATGGATATGTGATGAAATGTTGCAGCTATTGCTACCGTATGTACTGAGTATTCCAAACGCCAAATTTTTAACAGGTTAACGCGGCTCCAAACACAACTAATATCAGTAGATATTATATGCAAACTCTCGAAAAGATTGTTTGGCTAACACAAACCCTCAGATTGAGAATCTGTGGGATATGATTTTTTGTCATGAAAATGCTCTACGCTGCTCTTGGAATAAAAATGAGTTGAAGCGTTGGGCATACTTCTTTACTAATTATCTTCTGAATCTGATCATTGCGCTTGTGTAATAATTTTAAACTAAAATTTAAATTGATAAATTTCGCAAAAACTGTCTGTAAAATCTTTGCTCGTTGCAATTGTGCACTTCATAGTGTTATCACTTCCAAGAAATTAAAACTTATACAACAGATGTCAAAAGCGCTGACATTTAAAAAATGTACGATAGCATAAGCATTTTTAAGCTGCATGAAGCACTTACATTTCAAAATGAATATTATGAAATATTTTCTCCGCTTCATTGGCAAATGCATTTTTAAAGAGATGCAAAATGCAAATTAAACAAACTAAAACAAACTAAATTTTTTTAATGCGGGCTTACTTTTTTGTGTATATAATTTTGCGTGTTTTGAAGCAATTTTTCATGGTACTGCGTTTCTCAGGATAGCAGTGTGCCAAAAGAATCCTTTTAACCGTTATATATCGAAAGCTCTGAACAAGCTAATGAAAATGTAACTTAAAAAGAAATATTTTAGCGCAATATTTCTGCTTCAGTGACTTTGACTGCTTAGATTTATTGATATAAATACGTAAAAGTTTGAAAAGAATATACTGTACGATTTTTACCCTATCTTTTTTCTTACATTTATTCTTTTTTAATAAATCGTTTTATTACTATTGACCGTGCTTTTTTTCACAGTGATTGTTGTCACATACGATTTCTTAACTGTAAAAAAGCATTATTTAAAGAAATTTTCTTCCGTAATATCGCAATGTATAGTTCTGTGTAATATACTTTTCTAAATACTACTTTCATGCAATAAACAAATTTCATTGCAATATAAAACATTTATTGAAACAACGGTGTATTTGTGTATAATTTTTCTTTCATTTACAGATGATTCTGTAGCTAAGAGAATTTTGCTATGTTTTTCTGCAATTTGTAATGGAGAAAAAATACTAGATACTCGTGTATCAGAGGGTCAGTTGTTGAGTATTCATGGAATACGATTCTTGAGTTTAATATGGGTCATATTAGGACATACGTATATTTCTTCTGTTTCTATTATTGGTAAGTATATGGAAAGCTTTATTTAATATTTCATATGCAAATCGTATGTACAGATAAAGCATTCATTTTTTAGTTATATTAACGTTTTGATTCATATGAAGGGTATTATTCGATAGTTAAATTTCTTAGATTCAAATATTAAGTTCAATCAGTTTATAAAATCAGATTAATTTTAAACTGAAATTTTTAATTTAAGAGTTCTTCGTGAATTTATCGCTGCTTGTACACACATTTTGTATTTTAGTTTCGACGTAATCAAATTTTATTTCAGTTGTAGAAATAGTTAAATACTAATCAAAAACATTTTGAATATCCGTATCAAAATAATATGAAGTAAAAAATTTATTTCAAACAACTTTAGCTATTGAAGATTAAACGAAAATATTAAGCGCAGAATATTAAACGAGCATGCGCACATGTCAAAGAACAAGACAGACTTTTTAGTTATTTTCTTTTTAATTTTTTTACATTTTGATATCATTAAATGTAAAGCAAAACTGTTGTTTATTATTATTTCATTGATTTTTAGGTAACAGATTGGATGCTTTAAAAGACATGGATACCTTTCCATTTCAAGTGCTTCTGCAAGCTCCGTTTTCAGTTGATTCATTTTTTCTCCTCAGGTGAACAAAATTTACTGTATTTAGAAAAGTATTCACTGATATATAATAAATTAAGTAAACACATAAATGCTTTTAAAACCAAATTTCAAATCCTAAAATGCTTTCGAATCTCTCAAATTCTTCATATAAAAATAATAGTAGAAAAATAATTATTGCTTTATACTAGAAGTTCTTAATTAAAGCAGACATTAAAAAAGCTGCGTTTATTAAAAACTAATTTTAGAATATGGTTTTTTAAATATATTTATATTTGTTTAAAAGATGCAAATGAGATTTACTAAACAAAGTATATAATTACAACTTTCGAATCTTATAGTTCATTTTCTCAATATAGTTTGCTAAAAATATTTGAGTAAAAATTCAGAGCTCTTATCTATTTCCAGAATTTCATAATATTAAAGCAAATACTGGGGACGATTAATTCAAGAGTTAACACAAATAAACTCTGAATCAAAATGTTAATGGTTTTCCATAGAATTAAGAGTGTAGCACTGAAAGGTGTCACGAAGTAATTAATACCTTTGATCCAAGTGCTCTGAAATCGCAATAATCTTTTACGTTTCCTTTTCTTTTTTTTTTTTTAAAGAAACTCCAGTAGTACTTTTTTAAAGGAACTTTGTTAAAGAACTCTAGTAGAGTGCCAATAAAAGATAACTAATGGCAGGTGGCATCATAACGTCAGCAATCTTGATGTTTCCAAAATTTTGAGTTAAAATGTTTAACGATTAAGTTAAGACCTGAAAGTTTCGAATGATGAAAACAGCACGAAATTTCGAATCGTAGGATTTTGAGAATTCGAATATTTCCATTCCTGCTTTCAGCTGAATGATATGATACACTTCCCCTCACTTTAGCTAAAGTATACGAAAACAAAAAGAGTTTTCAACTAAGGAATGAGATGCACTGGGAACAAAATTAATAAAAATAGGATTTAGTCAATTACACTACCGATACATTGCATTTTAGTTGAATTTTGATGCTTTGGAAAAAACTTATCTCTCGACTTCTTGAGTTGATGATAGTATGCGCTGCGTTTAAAGCCATCGCGAGACTGTGTTTTCATCGCTTCCGATAATGAGACAAAAATATTTATATCACATTCAATGAACTTTTTGAAATCTCGCTGAATAATGCGCTGAAGTTATTTTGATCGTCAAAGTTGTTTTCGGTATCAAATAACAATTTTTTAAAACATTTGCCCTAAAACTGACTAAGCTGACTGCATTTTCTGCATTTGCATTTATAAGATTTTACAACTTTTAAATAAAACTATTATTTTAAATATTGTATTAAAGCTTGTTTATTAATTATTTTTTGGCTTTTAATACTGTGTTTTTCATCTTTACTGTAGTGGATTCCTCTTAACCTATTTGTTTCTGAAAGAAGCTGCAAAAAGAAATGGAAAAATAAACTGGCTATATTTTTATGTTCATAGGTTTTGGAGGTAATGGTTATTTTATATAAATTCAGTTAAACTGGAAATTTATTTATGTCTGCAAATTTTAATTTTTCTGAGGGTTTTAAAAATTTAATTATTTATATGATTAGTACTGTATTGCAATAAAAGATAAAACGGTGTTTTTTAATTAGAAGAATAAATACAAGTCATCTCATTAAAATTCGACACAGGCTTCTTCATTATAAAAAAATAATATTTATTTTATTTGATAATTATAATTATTTTACATCGCACTTTCAGATTTTCAACTGAATTTAAGAAATATTTGGTAAATACATAATACACGTTATGCACTATGTAAATACAATGCAATTTTTGTGAGTTTATGAAACAGATATAAATTTAAATGTTATGTTAAATTACGCATATATACTAATTTTTTTTAAATCATATATATATTTGCTCTTTGTAAAACGCATGCAATAGATTTTTAAGAGTAAAAAATTAGGAATCTAAATGATACATTTATATTTTGTTTGTATTTTCTTAATTTTTCATCAGAAAATGTTTGAAATTAAAAACAGCTTCCTGCCAGTGGAAGAGTATTTTATAAACCTGCTATATTATTTTATTCATTTCAAAATAAGCGATTGTACATTAATTTCTCTAATTTAACACTGTCATATCATTAATATTTAAGTACTAACCCATAGTATGTAAAACAGAATTTACGTTTGTAGCACAATATTTCTGGTAATATGCAACATAAAGTTCATGCCAATTTTTGAATAGACAGTAGTAAATTCAGTATAAGTGCTATGTTCAAAATCAATTAACAAGTTTTACTTTATAAGGCCATTAGTGAAGAGATTTTGAAAAAGGTATCGTATTCATTCTAGGAATTCCCAAGTCAATAGTTGGCAACGTCGTATGAAATGAAAAACAGATTGAGATGAATAAACTAGGGAAATCTTTTAACTAATAGAACAATTCAATCATTACCAGGCTGAGAATAGTGCAAGCATATGTTCTGACTCTATTTTACGTAATATGAATCCTGTTAAGATTTGTGAAACTCCCGTAAGCACAAATGCAATGGAGTTACAACATCTAGCGACGTGCGACGCTAGAAGAAACTTTTACGCGAAATGAGTTTTTTGCAGCACTATTTCAAATGAGAGAGTTTCTAGCCGAAATAGTTGCGTTGGACGCTCTGTCTCAGATATCTACTTCGGATATTTTGCGACGCTAATGAAAATGTTTCCTTGCGCATTATCTGCTTCACAGGTCTTCGCCAAATAGGTCTTCACAGGTCTTCGCCAAAATATTGGGTCTTCGCCAAATAGCGTTTTTTGCGCAAGTCAACCAATCAGATATCCTAGAAATCAAGATTCTCGGATATATTTGTTTCGACAAGCTGTTGAGAGTAGTAGATCCGAGTGCAGTTTAAAGCGAAGGACCTTCCAAGCTAGATATTCATGCAACTGATCACAAGGTCAATGAATGCTGGAACAAATGCTAGCTGCATGACTGGTGCAATGTACAGAATGCAAATCTTAGACTTCAGTAGAAACTAATCTCATTCTCATAGTGCCACGCTTTAAAAATTGGATGGGGAATTTAGCGTTTAAAAGTTCATGAGAACAATTTATTCAACTTTGTTTAGTCCCCGACAGTAAAGTTGGTGTAAACAATGCCACTGTATGAGACTGGCTTCATGGCTTAGCCTAGGTATGGCGATGTGTAGAAAATAGAAAGCTTGGATTCTAACAGAAATCAGTATCATGGGCATCATAGTATAATCTCAAGCTTTATTAAATGGACGGGTTTAGCGAATTCTGAAACCCGTCCAATTAGTAAATTGGTCCAATTAGTATTAATAGTCTATGTTCTAAGCTCTTTGATTTTGGAGAATGAAACTGGTGGAGATAATGGTCATGGTATGACACTTGTTTTTATGATTTAGCCTAATAGTTATTGTCGACAAAAATCATCCTCACAAAATCGATAAAATCAATACTGCATAGATATTATGTACTCTCAGATTGAAAGTATATTTTAAAAAGACCCTTATTTTTATAGAAACACAATATGCCATACTGCGTGTGATGTAACAGAATGGTTTGAGTTCACATGCAGCTAAAATGTTGTAATATTAATGAGCTCTGTAGCCTGATTGGAGTACATTCGCGGCTTTATCAGGCTTATCAATTGTTAGAACAATTTTAGAATCAACTTCAGTCTCCAATCTTGCTCAAGTCTAATTAATGTATATTTATAGTCGAATGAAAATTCATTTCACCTGGTATTCATGAAAAGGGTACGGAGGATATGTTTCAAAGCGACCATTGTAGCAAACAGATCAGTAAGATTATTAGAGACGATTTAAAGAAATGATAGAATATTTCTGTATGTAATTTATTGAACTTGTCTAAGTTATTCTATTTCCTTTCTTTGTTATTTTACACTTTTAAAATCTTTTTTAGGTTGACGCCTGCTTACATGGTAATTGTTTTCTTCTACATGTTTGTTTTCAAATACCTTGGATCTGGACCTTTCTGGGAAGACAAGCATTGTGATAACAGCCACAGTGACTGGTGGAAATACTTGTTGTACATAAATAACTTTATTCCCATAAATCAAATGGTATTCTATTTCTTCAAATTTGTTTATAGAGAAGTTGTACTGTACTTTATTATCAGTAATGAAATGATTTTTACATTTGTTTGCTAGCCTTTGCATAATCGTATGCAGTCTAGTTTGACATTTTAAACTAAGTCATAATTATTAACAAAGATATCCAGTGATAATTTTACCATGAAATTAAAAGCAGAAATGCTCTCAAACAACTTTTCAACACTCTGAAAATGTTGCATTCAAATAGCAGGACCTTGTTTTCCGAAAACTGATTTTTATAAATTACTAATAACATTAGACATCTGAATTTCGCAGAAATACTTAATTTATTATAAACAAAGAGAGCTTTGAATATCATGCCCAACATTAGGAATTTTTCTCTTTCTCATATACTTCCTTTAAGAAAATAATCACAGTAAATACATTTTTAACCAATATAACATTCATCTCCCATTTTCATAATTTCAAAAATTTTAAATGCATTGAACAGAAACTATAAAATTTGACTTTCTTTACAGTATGCATTTACGTGGACTTCTTTTTATACTAAAAAAGAAAAGAATTTGTACCGAAAAAGAAACGAATTTATACTGAAAAAGAAAAGAAACGTTCCAAAAATTAAAATTAAAATTATTCAGTTTAAAAATTTGGTTTATAAACATTTAATTGAAAAATTAATATCTTCTATACTGTATGGGCAAGTCATGTCGCAAAATAGTCTGTGTATAAACTGATGAAATAAATTGTCAAGGAAATCATCTTCAGATGAAAATATAATTGCATTATTTCACATGGAAGTAATAGGAACATTTAAAAATCGTCTTCCTTAATAAATTTTCTTAGGATTTGATTATTTGAGCATTCCATTTGGCTTCTACAAAAAAAATAAGTTCTTATTAGAAGTTCGTAAGTTTATTCTTAATTTGCGACTAGGAAAAAAATCGATTGGAAAAGTTGTTGAAATAATTAACTTAAAACATTTAACAGGTTTTGCGCCGTAAAACATTATTAAAAATATAAAATTTAAAGTATAAAATTCTAAAATAAAATTTGAAAGTATAAAATAAATGAAAATGTGAAACATTCAAAAATAAAACTTGAAAGTATAAAATTCGAAAACAAATTGTTCTGTAAAACAATAATTGCATTTATTAATACAAGATGAGTATAGAAAACTTGTGATGAAAATAATAAAAGACGTTAATTAACTTCATGCCTAAGAAATGAAATCATATTTTCAAAAACTAATAACAATCCAATAAAACATTTAAAATTTTTATAAAATAATTTAATATTTTTATTAGATAGAATAATAAGTGTCTGATCATTTTTGTAACCCTCCTTTCCCTGAAAAAAGTTTTAACTCTTGGCTTAATAGTTTACTTTGGAGAGAAATATTTAGGGTAAGAGGATTAGATTTAATTTAATGCATTTAAACTTTTGGACATTAGTTTCGAAAATTCAAACTAATTTTAATTTTAATTAACTTGTTTAATTTTAATTTGGGAAATGTTGAAAGTAGCCTAGCGTAAAACTTGTTTGCCTACCAGTGGAGCGTACTTGCTGTAAGTTAAACATAAACTTGAATGGATGCTTTCCTTGAGCATAACAGAACAGATGAACAGGATATGTCATCCTCTGACATATGAGGAAAACGTAACATGAAGAAGATGGAAGATGAATGACAGGTGATTAACTTGATTGGTACTTCGGCAGGTACTTGACTGCAACAGTTCCATACGCTACTTTATATAAATGCTGTCCGGGATACTCTACTGGATACCTACTCATATTCTAGTCTTAAACAGATATTTTCCTATTTGGAACTCTGTGCGTCAGATCGCCAAACCACGCTGGAGAGATTCACGGCTACAGGCCACGTCGATAATTAGGTGCAACTTAATAACAGACTTCTCACACACCTTTCCTGGCTTCTACTGGGAGACTATATACTAGCAATGTACTTTACGCATCTTCAGCACTGCGCAACCGCAAAAGACAATGCAAATTTCCTAAAATATGAGATATTGCATTCCGAAACAAAACTGCGGGAATTTGAAAGATATTATCTAATGTGTAGAAATTATTCCATTATCACTAGTTTATAGATTTTTAATTCCTTTCATTATAATTTATTATCATGTTATCGATGATATTATACAGTACAAGTTTAGGTAAGAAATGGTGCTGTTGCTATATCATTGTGAATAAATAGATTTTAATGTCAAAATTAAAACAGTATAAATAAAAAATTACATCGTTTATTTTCTTTTTGCAGTGTGTAGGTTGGTCGTGGTATCTTGCTAATGATATGCAGTTTTATCTGATCAGCCCTCTTTTCCTGTATCCTTTATGGAGGTAACTGATATCTATATTTATTTCTCAAAATTTATAAAACGATGAGAGAATCAAAATTTCTAGAAATTATTTTTTTGGGGGGGAAGGGACGTGAGAAATCAAATTTAACCAATTAAGAAATTGCAAATAATTATATTTTGTTAACAAAACACTTTTTCGATCTAGGACATAATGGAGGTTTCAAAATTCCATTTATTTATTTTTATTTGAATTTATTTATCTTTATTTAAATTTTTATATTTTTTATTTAATTAAATTTATTTACGTATAATTTCAGATGGCCGAAAATAGGATTTGGTGTATTAGTCTCTTTACTGTTGGCAACATGGACTACAACTGGCGTTCTAAGTTACAAATATGACCTTATCCCAATGTTCGTAGGTGCTACTAAAACGAAAGATCTGGAAGCATACGCAAAAAAGTAATGTTTAGTTTATTAGTTCAAAGGAGTAACTTTCCCTGAAGGACTATTAATTTCGTTTTGGCATTTTGCGTCGAAATTTAAAAGATTTAATCACTTTTCAAATCGTTGCCACCATATATTATCGCCCTGTCTTACATTTAAAGAAATTAAATAATGAAGAAATGTATCTATGTTTATGTCCAAATGTTTATAAAACAACAGTATCTAGAGCCATCAAAAATTTGAATAACGCAATCTTCGATAGACTATGGGCATGTGGAAGCACTAATTTGAATTTGAAATTTGTTTTATTATCGATTTCATATTTTGTATAACTTTAACGAATTTTTGATTAACAAACTAAACGATTTCAAAGCGAACAATGGCAACACTGTACGAAAAAAAAAGAACATTTTGATCTACAGCGCGCGAAATCCTGTATCTGAAATTCTAAAGATATGCTTATTTTAAAATTAATTTTCGATTTTGCTGTTGAACTAAATTTTATAGTTTGGGTACTTAGAACATGATATTTAATAAATAAAGGTAACACACAAAACGTTAAGCAATACATTGTTTCCTTTTTGTTGTATGCTCTTTTTTGTATTCTTTTTAATTGTACATGTTTTAGTCGTTGTTATCTATATAGAATTCTAAAATATAAAATTTTATTTTCTCATTGAAGAAGAAGGATTCTGAGCAAATCTGCCTCGAAATGCGCTGTATGTTTTTTCTACGAATCTGACATTATTCTTTAAGTAAATTTTGCTTAGTACATCTGTGTCTTTTGTTTTCTTCGAATTCATTTCTCATAAGCTCATTCATTTAAGATGTTGAATTTTTTCTTTGTTTTCTCTCTATTTTGATTTAATATTCTTTAACAATAGCCTTATTCAAAACACTAGAATATATATGAAATTGTAAAACTGAGTTGTGTAATTTAATTTAAGGATCTTACTGATATGTTCAAATAATAAATGGATTCTAAGCGATAAATGTTAACATTATAAAAAAACTTACAATCACCTTTACCTTTACATCAATACTCAAATCATATGGAATCAAGAATAATCAAGAATATGATCCACAGATATTTATGTTATCTTATGAAAAACCTGTCCATTATGGAATGTTTGAGGAAAAAACGTTTTCATGATATCTGAAAGGGTCATTTAATCTTGAATGTACTTATTAAAGGAATGGTGAAATGCAAAAATATTCTTCTTCATAGAGAATCCAGGATTGAAATTAGCGATTCTACTGAAGTATTAATGTTTTTTAATACTGTTTTCGAAAGAAAAAACTCTCTTGATGTATTTCACTGATTAGAAATCCATTCCATTGGTCAAATTATCATGCAGATTATTTGTGCTTCGATCAAGGTTTTTTAATACATCAGTATCATTTATTATAACATAAGGTTTAGCAATTGGTTACGTTTACGAATCTAAAATCTTTCCCCTTTTAACTGGAAGAGATTTTCTTGCTTTCGCCTAATCTGATACTGTTTAATGTATATATATAATATATATATATATATATATATATATATATAAATTTTATTTACTAAAGAAATATTGATTATATTATCTCCTAAGATTAATTTTGGTAGAATTATCTTAAAAGAGTGAATCCATAGTTAGTAAGTTCAATCCCGAAAATTGTTTTAAAATAACTTGAATGTAAACTGTTAAAAATGTTTAACGGGGACTTGAATTAAATCATGAATAACAAAATTTCAATTGTAAAAAGAAATAAATTAAAAGCAAGTAATTAAATTAAAAGCAAGTAATCATTGCCATTGATCGGAAATTAGTTGACTTTTCAAGGGGAACAAACCAACTCCCGTTCAATGAACAATAATTAAGAAATAACTACGAAGATGTTTCGTCCTTTACTCAAGTAATAAGGCGATGCCAAACCGGCAATTCAATTTAGGCCAAATATTTCCGTGAATAGAAGGGATCAAGAACCAATGCAGAGCACCAAAGAATTCATTCCGATTAAGCATTTTCGCTAATTCAATTTTGAGTGAAAAGCAATTTCTGCAGTAAAATTTATAAATTACTCGAGTAATGTTCCCCGGACACCATTATGCATTTTAATTCGAAACTATTTGTAAAATTTAAACATTGGAAATTGCCATTATGAAATAGAACCCAAAGTAATTGAAATAAACATTAGAAAATTACGAAATATAAGAAATATAATGCAATCTTTGCAAAAACAAGTCAAAAAATAAAAAATAAAAATTGAAATAAAATATATTCTAAGAAAAGGGAATCTACATGAAGATATAAAAGGCCAGAAAAAGCATTAATTAACTTACGTTCTTTCTAGTGGGAAGTGGGCAAAGTATTTTCTTCGCGTCTGACTCAGAAGGGTTGTGTTTCCGAAATTCTTTATCTGCAGCGGGGGCTTCGAATTATATCAGTCGGTGAGACTTGTGTGAAGTAATTTATGGGAGTGGGAGTGACTAGGAATTCTTGAGGGACGTATGTTGTGGAGTTCTTATTTGAGTGAATCCGTCTGTTAAAATGTTTTTGCAACTATTAGTGAATAGAAATGAATTAATTTCTGGCTAATTATCGTGTCGTAACGAGGAAGAAAGTGAGAAAAGAAAAACAGGAATTTTCACTGTCATGCATGTTCATTCTTGGTTAGATTATTATTGAATTATATGAAATCAAATCGAGGATAATAGTTTACCCGCATTCAGAAATTCCATTTCCAGTTTTTTTCATTCAGTAATATCGTAGACACACAAATTTCCAAATTGCAGGTTTCCCCCCTCCATTTCAATAATGTCGTGAATGGCTTACCAGTGGTTATTTTACCAGTAGTTCATTGGAGAGTCTAACGAAAAAGTAGCCTTCGTGTTTTAAATAATATGAAAGCCTGACGTTTGTTTTAAAAACAAATTACTGAAAAGTTTTTTAATGTTGTTTGGAGTTTTCGCATCTTCTCCTTGTTTATATGCCCGAGACATAAAAATTCTCATCGGAGTGGAGAATCTTTTAACTCGAAAATATCTTCCTGGATGTTTAAGCTGCATGTTTAAAATGGCGAATGGAAACTCAGCAGTTGAAGACGCTATTAATATTGTTGATGGCCTACGGAATTTCTGGACTGGAACATACCTCGTCGTATTTCATTCAGATATGTATATTATCAACAGCCTTTGAGAAGAGATATATTTATTTTTACTTACAACCATTTCATTTTGATAAAAGAAATAGATTTGCGCTTCGCATATATCTTCCATATGTTGTCCATATGAATAATAATTGAAATGTTCAGAGACCATGCCTTAGGCCTTATTAAAATAAGCTTATCAAATGTTAAGAAAGTAAATGAATAAAAGGGAAAATATCTTTGTGAATATTAAGAAAGAAAGTTCAGAGTATTTAAAAATTATAATTAAACTGGACATGCAGAAACAAAAAGAATTAGACGTAGCGGTTGCCTGAAAGCAAATTATACATTCTGAATTCTATTTGCATGTAAATTTAATGATTATTTATTAAATAAAATATATTTTTTGAATTTGCATGCATATGTTTATTAACTTATTTCAAACACCGTATTAATGGATGGTAGGAATTAAAAAAAAAGTAATTTTGAAATCATTGAAGGGAAATTCCTTAGCGGAAGTACACCGAAGAATTTTTTCATTTATAGGAGAACATGTAAATTGTTTTGTATGAAGTTTCTTTTAGTATAACTTGAATCTTAAGACATAAGCGTTCTAAATTTATATGTTAAGGCACCCTGACGCTAATTTTGTATTATTTGATACCTTACAGAATGTGGGATTCTTTCGATTTGATATACGACAAGCCTTATTGCCGAATTGCTCCGTATCTCATTGGCGTTTTCTTAGGAATAGCATTGTACAAAGTGAACTCACGAAAGAATTTCTTAAATTGGGTAAATACAAACTCTTTGCTCTATTTATTCTTTTCAATTTTTTTTACTTATAGTAGAAGAAATTATAGCATTGTGTAATTGAATTTCTTTTATATTGGGCAAATATTAAAACTTTTTACATATATTGTTTTCTATGATAAGTAGAATAAATCATATTTTGCCTTTTTTAAATTTAAGATTCAGCGTTAAGACCACCGAAACTCACTTTCTCTCTATATATGTCTCTCTCTCTCTATATATAGATATCAAAGGCGTAATTTTAGAGTATGCGTATAAATTTAAGATTCTGAAAAGAAATTATTATTTTAAAAATATATTATATATAGCAAAATCCTTATTACTTAATTCGAATATGCAGATTTGCAATTAATCATTGATTTTATTTAAAATCAAAAATGCAAACAAAACGAGTTGCTCGCTATTTGTAACTTCTTTCGTTCTTCCTCCTCGTAATAGACTGTGCGTGCGTTAAGAGAGAACGTGAATCCGTTAACGAAATATTTTGCACAGAAAAGAGAACTTCCCCCTTTACTTTCTTTACCCACATAGGTGGAGTGGATCCATACCAGAGTGGGCGTATTTGTTTCAGCTGCATGATATAGCTTTACTGCTGGAACTGAAAAAGAGTGTTTGTTTTTTCATTGTATTTTAGTACAATTTATTGTAATTCTCATTTAATTCAGAGGCGTGTTTTCTATTTCGAGGTTCTGTACTTTATTTATGGTTGGCTTATAATTATTTTTGGACTTCTTTCAAAGATTTATATGATAATCTATTAAATCTTAAAATTAAACCGAACATTTTTTCCAGAAAATTAAAGCATGACTAGAAATGAAAAAGTGGTGCTCTTAGAAATATTTAAACAGATATTTAGTCTACATTTCTCTGAAAATAAAAATTATTTAAAAATGAGGAACCTTTACGGTTATGATCTGTAAATAAAAAGGTAAAAACACGAAACATTTCCAAACTACAACTTTGCAAGAAAATTAGATAGTTAATAGTTTATGATGTTAAAGAAAGCTTCGGCTTGGACGGTTATTTAATAGTGCCAAACTTAAAATTTTCTCTGTAATCAAGGCTTAAACTCAGCCTGAGCATTTTCGCGAAGTCATAATTACATCTAGTGTGCAAATTCAAAAGCAAATTTTAAGTGTCAGTAAAAAGTATTATTGGTACTCTATACTGAATGAATGCCTCAATTTCCGTGGGAAGTAGAAAATGGAAAAACTTGAGTGTTTAAGGAAGAAATTCTTTTATGTCAAAATGCGAACGTACCAGGAAGAAGACATTTATGGGCTGTATTCATTTGGTAAAAATGGCTTTAAATGGATTAGAAGCAAAACAATGATACAGATTTACGTGAATGAATTACGTGAAAAATACTAATCAGAATATTTATCTTTCATTTGCCCTCGGTACCATGCCTTGTTTCTCTTAATTTACTCAATTTTCATTTGTTTTATTATTTCATTTAATTGTTATGTTTTCTTAAAATTTAGTGTTAATTTATTTATTTTTACTTAACTTTATGAGATCTTAAGTTTTCAGTTACTTAATTATGGTTAATTTAACTTAATAAATTGATAATCTTGTTTCTTTATATTTTATGTAATTTTGATTGTTCTATGCTTTTATTATTTTAATTCGCCTTTCTTGATGGCTTCCATCAAGAACTCTAATATTTCTAAATTTAGAAACTGAATCTTGGCAGTAATATTAGATTAAAGCTTTTCATATTCGAACGGACGATCAAGAAGAGACTTTCAGTTAAATCAGCGTATGAAAATATTTATCAAACATTTAAAAAATGTGTAACAAAAGCAATAAAATTTTAAATCAGTAGATAAATTATGTACATTTTTATATGGTTACGCCATTACTTTGAACTGAAAATTCACGTTTGAATAACTGTAGCAGATTGTCGGACAACTTATCGTTCCGTCTGGCTTTTAAATGAAATGATCACAACTAAAGCGAGAGTTTAAAATAAAACTTAAAAATTGCTCAACCTAAAAATTGCGTAAACTAAAAAGTTAACGGAAGCTAAACTCCGCTAGTCTGCGGGTGCAAAGTAAAAACTGTCTAATTAAACTTCGGCTTTCCCTTCATTAAGTGCGAAAAAATCGCGGTTAAAAGAAACTTAAGCTGACAAATTAAATTTCAACAAGAGCAAAACTTATGGCGAAGCTATCTCTTTCTCTCTGAGACATTTAGGAACTAGAGGCTTATCTGTATTTTAACTAATTTGCACTTTGATGAATTTGCATTAATGAAAGTAGACATTATGCGGAGTTAAAATAATAATAGGGCTGGATTAATTAAAATAAAATCTTACATATTTACAAAATAACAGCTGTCAGAGGCAGCACTTAGAGGTCATTTTGTTTTAGGAATCAGTAGTTTGATTAATGTGTAGGTTCCACAAATATTTACTTTGATGTGTAGGTGTACAAATAGATACTTTGCTTGATTAATGTGTAGGTTTCACAAATACGTACACTTCTCTTATTTAAATTTATTAATTTTAACTTAAATTTATTAATTTTAACTTTACATAAAATTAATAAATTTAAATAAGTAAAAAACTGAGCATAGTTCTAGCATGGCTGTTTCTTATTGTTCAAAATTATATTAAAAATCGCAGTTCAAAGTTCATAGCAATACCAAAAATGGGAAATAAAGATTTCTCAGTTTCTTTCAATCAAAAAGCACAATCTGCCAATACGCAAGGTAAAGGATTTGTTTTCAAACAAAATGTTTGTTGAAAAACATGAAATCAGTTCACTATACTGTGAAATTTAACAGTATCCAAGTAAATATGCGGAAAGCCTAATACTGATAAATAAGTTTGACTTTAGAGCTGGTATGCAGAGAAATATATTTCTTCTAAATGCAGTTGTCCCATATTTTGTTAAATAATTATAACACTTGTTTTGTGAATTATTTGAGTTCGTAAATTATTCGAGATGAATGCTCTCTGCTTCCTCCCTGATACAGAAAATTAACTTGTTAGTGAATTTATACCTTGTGAAAAACAACAGCAGTATTCCTAACATTATGAGAGAAAAATAGATTCTCTAATTTTACTAGCATCAATATCAACTATTTCAATATCGATTTTTATAAACCAAGTAATAATTGATTAACTGATTATACAGGTCGTAATGATGGAGAGCTCTCTATGTAGGGAAAGAGATTGATATTATTGTAAGATAGCTTGCAGGAAAAATCCAGCTCGCCACTTGAGTTTGATCCTTGTCTTACTATTCTGAGTGAAGAAGAAGTAATAGGAGAGTAGTAGGAATGTACCACTAACCATCCCTCGAGTACAATTTGGGATTCCTTCGGATCATATCCTCGTGGTCTGCTCACCTCTGCCATTTTCCCTCCGGACCATAAAACTAAAGAATTTAAAACTTTTATTGTGTGCATTTCATTAATTTATATGGTATGCAGCATTCAACAATGTCAATACGCAAAACCTACAACCCCCGTTCCAATATCTAACTTCTTTCCGTAATATAAAGTTAAAAAATTTTATGTTAAACAGTATATCCTTCAGGAAAATTCATTGTATGCCCTTGATATGTATTCGATACGCCCTTGATATGTATTAGATACATATCTGGAGCATGTGTTATATTTTTCTGATTTTGAGATTAATTTCATAAAAAAGTATTTTATCAACTCATCATTTGTCACAGACACAGATGCTAACTGTCCTTGAATCCGAGTTTTTTAGTCCATTCACGAATATTTTCCTTCATGCTGAATGCTTGATGAATAATATCTGGATTCCTTTTTTCAGAAGTTAATGCTTCTTGTCATATTGCATTTTGAATAAAAATCAATTAATTTCAGGAAGTATTTCTTAGCAATTACAAGAAATGTGGAGCTGATGCCTTTGAGAATAATTTACGTGAGTGCTGGCTAAAAGAGAATTTCCTTATTAGCATGATGCGAAATTCGTCATGACTCTAACTTTTTATTTGAAGCCTGTACGAGATTTATTTTATCCCTTAAATCAAACTCACTACTGAGTTGCGACATATAACGGAGATATTCATCCTGTATCAGTGTCAATATATTTCTTCGAGTGAGATTTTAATCAATATCAACATTTTTGATATTTTATGGAAAACAGTTGGACTTATAATTAAGTATAGCTATGAGAAAGTTTTCAATACTGTACGTAGACGTTACATAGTTTGCTTTCAAATCGAAAATAAATTCAGAGTTTCGCCATCTTAGATGAATGTATATCAACCAGATATAGGCGGTAATTCTTCTTTGTTAATTTCGGTTTTAGTCTGAGAAAGCCGCTTCGTTTGAACCTTCAACTATAATTTAAAAGATATATTAAGTAAAAGGTACTGTATCGATCTAAATGGATATAAAAAAGGATCCCTTTTTTCCGATGTTTTAATCTCCGGTATTATTGTAAAGTGTATGAAGTGTAGCCTTTGATTGTAATTAATGGTAGTTTGCAATTCGCACTGCAGAGAGATTTTTGATTGCTAAGTGATTGACATTAGATTTAATGGAACTAATGGCTATGCGCTATTATGGTCTTAAAGGCTCCCAACGCCCCAACACATAGTGAACTGGGTACATATGTCAAAGTAATTGACAAAATTTCACATGAATTGGGTAAAAATAACATTTTGTGAGGAAACTGCACGATTTAGGCTAGTCTTAAATTATCGTTCAACGATTCATTAACAGTTTTAATGCTGCTTAGGCAATGAATATAGGTAAACTCAGTAAAACAGATCATTTGTAAATCTGCGTAATAATTCCTATGTTAGAAGATATGTTTTTAGTTTTAATCTGATAAAGTCAAATGATTAATTTGGGTAAATGATTATTATTGATAAATAACAATAGCAACATAAAGCATTTTCCTTTTATTTACGTAGTATCTGATGTTTTAATTTAATTTTTATCATATCTTTTTTCTTATTGCTAAAAGAACTTGAAATAAAATTCTGCACCATAGAAATAACAAAATTTGTCTGCATACAAATTTTTCAAACAAATTTATTTGTTTGAAACAAATATTTATTTGTTTGAGACAAAGAATTTTATTTTCACTTATTTAGTTTCTGCTATGTTGGTATAAGTCCTGTTATTTATTAGTCCTTTTAGGGGAAGAGGGGCCCGGGAGATTCTTGGACCCGTCCCTCCAGGAGTGCTCTTCTTTAAAACTGGGGGCGAAACTGAGCAAATTCGTATTGTCACCTGTATGGCGCTCATGGGTTTTACCAACAACAGGTGCAATATCGCCGTCTTGCACGATGAATTTATAGGGCTTAGTCTATTAGACAACGAGATTAGTCACAGCAACAATAGTCATAGTTTAGGATGCAAAAGATATATAGTTATTAAGTGGTAAATTAATTTTATGATATGAAACGTATACTTGTAATGTCATATTATTAGTCCAAGTGGGCTTTGTCCCTGAAGGACTATTGTTTTCGTTTTGCGATTTTGCGTTGAATCACTATAAATGTCCGTTTCACTTTTCAAACTGTTGCCACCATATTTTAGAGTCCTGCATTATATTTCAAGAAATTAAATAATGAAAAATCTGCATAAATATATGTATATTTCTCGCATTGTGTTGGTTTCATAAAACCAACACAATGTTGGTTTCATAAAACAACGGTGCATAGAGCCAACGAATTTTGAATGACGTTATCCTCCTACGAATATGGGCATGTGGAAGCCTAAATTTGAAATTTGGAATTTATTTTATTATCGATTTCATATTTTGTAAAACTTTAACGAATTTTTGTAACAAACTCAAGGTTTTAAAAGCAAGCAATGGCAACGTTATACAGAAAAAAACATTTTAATCTCCAGCGCATGAGACTGTATATCGGAAATTCTAAAGATATGCTCATTTAGAAAATATTTTGCGACATTACTATTGAACTGAATTTTATGGTTTAAGTGCAAAGAATATGATATTTAATAAATAAAGGTAACACACAAAACGTTACAAAAACGCCTCTTTGGATGTAATTTAAAATCTGAAACCTTTCATATTTCTTTACTTATCTTTTTTAATATGCTTTTTTAATGACAGACTGACCAGTGTCAGTATATGTTGTTTTTTGTTATATATGAAGAAATTATTATTATTTTTAAAGTACATTCTATCTTTCACAGTGGCAACAAGTAACAGGTTGGGCACTCGCTTCATTCTTCTCACTCAGCGTCGTTTTTGGTCTCTATCACGTCCAGATGAGTAGACTGACTTCCCTTTTCTACAATTCTTTGTGTCGATCTTCATTTTCACTGGGATTAGCGTGGCTTATTTTTGCATGTGAAACAGGCCATGGAGGTATGCTTTTGTTATTAGTATTTATTGAAATGTTAACAGTAATTTTTTTCTTGTTATCGCTAATACCTGAGGCATATACTTCTCAGAAATAGTAAATTTAAACTTGAAAGCGTTAAAAACATAGTGACTATTGCAATTAACAATTACTTTAAATTTTGAGAGAAATTTCCTTATTTGTTTTCAAATTTATATTTTTATACTTGATAGAAAAGAACGAATTTTGACAGGGATGTTTTGTATTCGTGTTAAAATTGAAGTTTTGTTTATCTGGCAAAAAAACTTTACTGATGGAATTATTTACGAAAGAAATATGACCAAATCTTGTGAGATACTTTATTTTAAGTACTCAGTTAAAATATTTCATTAAATATCAAATTTTAAATACTTTATTTTGATATAACATTTAATATTTCATATCAAATGCCATTCACTATGAATTATTTTAAAATTAATATCATTGCGTTATTTTTATTTTTATCATTTAATTATTTTAGGTTTTGTCGCTAAGTTCTTGTCCTGGAAATTTTGGATTCCATTAAGTCGACTGACTTATTGCGCTTACTTGGTCCACCCGATTCTTATTCATGGTTATTACATGTCTTACCAGACCGCTCTATATTTCACAGAACTTGTTACTGTAAGTAGGATTTTAAGAGATAAATTTTACAAGCATATTTTGCTAACAAAACAGGTGAACTGGGAAATGATTTCTGAGTTTACGTTTCTCTTTCTAGGTAACCAATTTCATGGGATTCATGGTTATGTCTTACGGAATTGCTTTCCTTTTTTCTCTAGTATTTGAATCTCCTTTGATGAACTTAGAAAAGCTAATAATCAAGAGAAATTCTCAAGAGAAATAAACAAGACAGTATATGTAAAAAAATAAATAAAATTTTATTCATTGTATTTTATTGTTTAAATTGCCAATTGATGGAACTGAGTATAGTAATCATTGATTTATTCCTGGAATAAAAAATTTTGAAACGGAAATTTAATTTTTAAAAACGTTGGAAATTTTAAGGATTTCCATAAATGAAACATTTTAATGATTGAAAACCTACATATAAATTTATTAAACATCTTTGATGTGAAAATTACATATTTTTAGCCTAACACATGAAAAGTTTTAAATAGTCATTTTTAAATGCTCAAGCATACGCATACTGATAAAATATTTTAAGAGTTATAAAAATTCTGTTTGAACCAGTGTTCGAAATTACTGTGCGTTTTTAGTACGAAATAATTAATACTATACTGTCTGGTACTGAAATCGTAACTGCTGTTAGATATTTAAAGAAAATTCAATAGAAAATTAAATGAACAATTGAATAGCTTTCATACAAGAAAGATTTAAAGAAATTAGAGAGTATAAAGCAAACGTAAATCTGTTTCTCAGAGCATTAGCATACTTTGGAAAATCATAGCAAGATAAAAATTTACTGAAAATAATTTTAGGTTTGTAACTTTATCGTAAAGGCTTAGTTGTTAAAAAAATATAAAATGTTTCATTTCACTTCTGATATTATTTAATTCTTTTCTGATATTTAATTTTTCATTCGATAATTTTCTTAAATTTATTTTCGACTTACAAATAAATTTATTCTGTATATCTGAGGTTTTCACTTGCGATTTACATATCCTTCGATTGTAAAGTAAAGCAGTTTTCTAAGTAATACAATAATTAAAACTCGATATTATCCCTTAAATTTTCCTAGAAAGACATGGTAATTTATAGCTATTTAACAAAGCAGTATGTTTTTGTGGCGACATTCGATGTTTTATAGCTACTTTTTTTATTTATTTCGCTATTTTATATAATATTATCTTTAAATTAAGTTATATTACCTTCTTATTTTGATCACCATGTTTTGTATGAAGATATTTACCTATCCATTTCTTTCTGCACAATGTTTTAACGTACAGCTTCTTGATAGTATCTGCTGTTTGCTCAAGCTTATAATGAAGACATGTAATGAAAGCAATTGAAAAATGTGAAAAGATGTAATTGTGATGAAAATCACATTACTCATGCTTGTAGCAATAGTGATTAATTTGATGATTTGTTTTACTTTGATATGGCATCGACGCACTGAATTCATATTTTAAAGGTAATCTATAATATAATCATAAAGGTAATCTATCAGCAAGCAATCGGTTGTTGAAACGGTACATCTTAAATCTAAAGTGAAGAATTTTTCCGAATTCGAAGAAATTTTAAACAGTTTTTAAATGTTTTAATAAGTAACAAATGGTTTTAATAGTGATAAATAAGTATTAAATCGTTAAGATATAATAACACGCCGAACAAGTATTAATTTAGAAGTCAAACAACAAAAATCAGCGTTATATTTTCAAATTTTCAAAGGACTAGCTAGTTACATCTTATCTTGTTCATTTGCACTTTTGCAGCTGAGGATGACGGTTCTGTAAAACCATCGTAGCTAGTTCTGTGAAAATTTGAAAATATAACACTGATTTTTGTTGTTTAACTTCTATATTAAATAGTTGCTATATACTCAATGAGCAAAATATTAAAGACAACAGTGATAGGATGTGTCATAGTGGAATTTCAAAGAGTAGGGTAAAACATAATCGCTAGCAATAAATGTAAGTGAACTGCGTTTTCTGACAACATGTTAATTGGCTGAAGCGCATAGATGAGGCAATTTATAGACTTTTATTTTGAGCACATTATTAGTAGAAGAGAAACAGAACATTTTTCTTCTATTGTATTTTTGAAGTAGCAATGCACTACATTATGAAGATAATCGCAAGCAATCGAGTTATGAAGAGCAAGAGTATTACGAATTTACTACAATTAATACCACTGATTGACATCTTTTGGCTCCAGGAAAAACATTACTGTTGATAAGGCCAATCTGCACTGTCTACATTGGTTGTCAGTGATCATAAAAATGCAGTTACGTGGATCATATTTGGAACCAGCTCTAAAGAACCAAGAAAAGTCAAAACACCGAGAGTATTAGGTTGTGTTTGTGCTACAACTTAAATATTATTGATATCATGATCATATAATATTTATGATTATGGCTCTGTAGTGATACTTAAGCCATAGCACGAACGCAGCTTATAAGGTACTTGCTACTAAAGTGGTGCCTTGTCCTGTCAATGTTAATCACGTTTTGCTTGTCATTGCGACTCGATTGTTCCTGAAATATCAAGGTTGACACTGAAGAGTGATGCTGAATTATCATTTCCTGCTGCATCTGGTTTATGGTAGAATGGTGATGGCATGACTCCAATAACATTATACAACAGCCAAGTGTTTTCTAATCAAAGCGATAATGACTGAATGAGGCTGAATGGTAGTGCTTCTTTGGGAAGATCCTTAAAGGTTGCGTGCTGTCACAATTTTCTGTTTGATCTTTTGCATATTTATTCCGGATATTTGAAAGAGTTTTTGAAGGGAGAAGTTTATTTTATTAGAACATTCTTCTGGACACAATAGAGTACCTAGAGAGAAGTAGAGTGAATGGACCGCACCGGGCGCCACATTTTTGGACGCAGCATGTTTCATGCGAAAAATATTATAAGGCTTAGTCAAACGAATTTTTGGAGCAGGAATGAGGATTCGGAATTACTGAATTACAACAAAGATCATTATGGTTATCTGCTTAAAGGTGACAGGTGACAGCGGTACGATTGCCAATGGAGTTACAATGACAGTGACATAAATAAGGAAGAATTCCTCACGGAGATATAAATATTTTAGTTTTATTTCTGTTACTGGTTGGGAGGATGAAATAGTGAGGTAGGAGGACGGTCGCTTCGAATTTTTGCTATTTATTTTAAGATATAGGTTTCAGAATGCAGCTCCAAATATTGTAATACAGCTACGGAGTTCTTTTATAATAGCTGCAAATGTTACTTATTGAGAAAGGAATTTTTCTAAATACATCGTTTAAGAAATGGTTAAGAAACACTTAAAATCTCAAACTGAGTGCGTTGCATTTAAGAAATCTTACATTCGGTAAGATTTCTGAGAACAATACATAAGAACAATTCTACATAAGAGCACTTTGAGTAATAGAACAAATTTCTAGCATGTCATCGGTGACTTTGCTAGCATAAAAACAAGCAAACCAGCTTTTTAAAATAATGGAATTAAAGTTTTATTCCAATAGTAAAACTATATCTTTTATTTATTTTTCTACTTGTGGTCTGAGATTTTATAGATTTTTTTGGTTTGCAAGGAAGGGAGCGGCAAAGAGATAGCCCTGGCGGTAAATTTGCTACGCTATTGGCTGGATTAGTGCTACCCAAGCAGGTCTTTAGAGCTTAATCATTCCGATCCCCTTATTTGTGTCGCATTGAATACGTATAGGATGTCATTGCGAGAAATATTCCGTTCATGGATATAGAATCGACTTTTGGAGATATCAAGACAATATTACAAAAGACTTCGCAGGGAATTTTCCGAACTATCTGGTTGGTAGACGTGGTGCTTTGTTGTCTGCAGGATGTCTGTCGTGCCAAAGAATGGCCATTATCGATATATCTCTAAAGTGGTTGTCATATACAAACTATTTGCAACTACCAACTATTCTACTTGAACGCTAAGGCTGCAATACAAGAAGATATTCATTAATAAATTCTACAGAGTTTTTAAATTGAAAATAAGCCAAACGTTTTTAATTTTACGCGTAAAAAAAGTTATACATTGCACATTTTCCAACAGTCACCTATCAGTATCCAGCTTTCGTTATCATCATCGTCGAAGACATACAAATACATAATTCAACAAATTAAAATCACGTTCCCTGGACCTGCGATTCCACAAAGGTGTCATCTGACACAAAGGTCCGCTGAAAAACATTGTCATCTAACTCTCAAGCTAAATGAGTTGAAGAAACTGCAATCCAGCCTACTGTGAGGAAAATGTCAGCCCTACAGGGAGGATTCCTATATCACTTTTCCGTATTCCATCTCCCAGTGTTATATGGAGTCGTTCAAAAGATAATAAAGAAATCCATTACACAAAAAATACTGGACAAATCCATTGTGTACTGGATTTGTACTTAAGAAACAAATGCAGTACACAAGTGACCGAACGAACGCAAGGAGCAAACGCACAAAGAACCGAATTTTCACAGACCTAATTAACTGAATTAGTTACTTCATCTGTCATTGTGATGCTACAGGGAAAGATTCAACCAATAGAAAGGAATGTCAAATAATATCATATCCTAACTAAAGGAGAAAAATGGAGAAACAGTGAAGTCTTTGAAATTCTACCTGTGTAAAGAGAAGAAAAGCCAGAGTATGGAAATTATCAGTAAAGAAATAGGTTAGTCCTGAGAGAATTAGGAAATTCCCACGATTTGTATCAGCATTCCCAACAAGTACCAAAAATTTAAATTAACATCCTGAGTAACGATTATAGGCGATATTAAAGAAGCCAGAATCAGTGCAATTTTTATAAATTTGTCGGACTTGTTTCGAAGGTTTGAATGTAGAACTTTCTACTTCAGCTTACAGGTTTACATAATGATGAAGGAGAAATCTATGCTGAGAATTTAATATCAGAACAGAAAACTCGAAACATTTCCATCGAAAAAACGCAAAGCTACTGGCGCCATTGATAAAAATAACTACGAAATATTATCTTGAAAGCTGAGGAAGTAGATTGAAAGTCAGATCAATTATATAGAACTGAATGATTTTTACGAATGTGATTCCTCTTATGAAATTTCATACATTTTACAAAAGCTTAACTTTCGCGGCTTTTTTCTTTGTGTCTATAAAATTTGCAGTTTCACACTTAAAAACCCCATTCCAGGTATGTTATCTTGCGGTATATACAGAATTGCCAATGTGGTTAGCATACATCGGTCAAACTAGAAAAGCCTTAAAATGTCAATTAATTGATGCACATATAAGGAAAA